CTTTTTTCTAGAAGACTTTACATCAGTTGTTATAATCAAGATAAATACGCTTTTCGCAGATGAAGCCAACGTTCAATTGAGTGACATTATTCACCATTGTAAATCATTTGATAATGCAAAAGACAGTATTTGTTATCTGTCGTCGACTGATAAATATGAATTAATAGTTATTGTGCCAGAATTATTTTCGCACGATGTTATACCAAATATTGTGCAAATGAAAAAAATTCGACTTATCTATATTTATACGCCCGATAAAAACATCACTGAACATGACACATGGACAAAATTACACCGAAAAATTCGTGGCGTCTACTGCGATAAACAAAAGCTTGTGCAGCGATTGATGATCGATATTTTCAGAGTTTTCTCGAGTTTTTATACAAACATGTGTTTTTGTGATCAAAACGAGAAATCGACGCAAGATTTGTTAGAAGAAAATGCACTATTTCAAAAGCACCAGCTGTACATGGAAACAATATTTCAAATGACAAACGTGGATGATGCAAAAGGAGACATAGTTGAAGTATCCATACCATTCTATTTGGATAACAAAAAACAACAAGAAATCATAAAAGAATTTGGTACAACATATCGTCACGAACATGTTATTCAGTGGTATACACGAAAGTGTTTTCTATATCGTATATTGAACAGAGCATTGAGAACACAAGAAATGTGTATTATACTCAAATTTCGATTAATTATCCGTGATCTTCATCATACACTACTCCCACTACATTCTCACTCATTAATAACGAGCAATCCCACTTTATATCGAGGACAAAGAATATCTTCCGAAGAATTACAAAAGTTGAAAAGCAAAGTTGATAGTCTAATTTGCATGAATACATTTTTGTCTGCGACAACTAATAAAGAGGTTGCATCGATTTTTGCAGGCGGTGAGAGTACAAAAGATACCAACTCGGTGTTATTCGAAATAACGATTGCTGATACGTCACCAACACCATTTGCAAACATTAAGGAATTTTCACACTTTGAAGATGAAGAGGAATATTTATTTTCAATCAGAACTGTATTTCGAATATCACGAGTCGAATTCAAGGATGAAATTTGGGTTATTAAATTAATATTGGTGGGTGCTGACGACGGAAAACGAAAAACAATAATCAATGAATACCATACAAAATCTTGTGAATCAATTCAACAGTATTCTGTAGGCTTGGGACTAGAAGCAGATGGTGTTAGCCGTGACGGTAGCCGGTTACATTGTCGGTATCTTCCAATAAATGAAATTCGCCGTAGCATCTCCACATTTAGTTCCAAGAACACAGATTCAGGTAGAGTATTCTTAAGTTCTTACTAAATTCAGCGTTTTGATTGTTTTGCACAGGAAAAGCTGAAAAGTGAACATAATTTTTCCACAGGTCAACGTTCTAATCTGTCCTCTCTTGAATGTTGAAAACTCCACGTCTCTAGCTTTCTCCGTTCAAAAGTTATTAGAGAAACATCTGCGGGAATTCTATTTCAAATGGATGATAGTATCATTCTTTTTCTAGGTAATGAAACGGTGTTATCACTTGTATCTCTACCGGTATAATTATAAATGAAATAGGAAATAGAATACAACAAGAGCTTGGATTACCGATACATCTTTTTAACGAAAACAATATGTGTTCAAAGTATATTCATTCGAACAATACGAGAGACCTTTTTGTAA